CTGCTCCCCTTCCAGCTTTTCCCAGTTCTCTCTCTGCATGTCGATTGGGTCACTGGTGCTGTTGAGGTATTCGTAGGGGAACAGCCATTTTTCCCTCTCATGAGCCAAATTTGCTTCTGCAGTCATGAGCTGAATCACATTCACTTTAGCCTAGAGCATGGTTAGTCCAGACAGAACATGAGACTTGTTTATCAATCCCTATTGAGTGTCTATGAATGCTTTTCAGAGTCTTGCAACTACATTCATATGGTACCTGGAAATTTGGTAATTTCACAGTTATTTCTTCTACAGTCATTGTCAGAAGAGTTTTGATTCATCATGGAAAATTTCAGTTCTAATGGTTAAATTATGAAAAACGTGTAAGCAACTAAACCCAGAGGTTTGAATTGGAACCTGTTAAGCAGCACTGACTGTAGGCACCTTTTGCCTCCTGTAGCTTTAGCTGAAATGCCTGTAGAGAACAAGAAATGGCAGCAATGCATACTTGCTAATAACATTTCTATCCCATACAAACCTTTCCAGCTTACAGTGGAAAGCTACCAACCAGAGAGAAAGTTAATTTTAAATGAAGTGCTTCAATCTCTTCTGCCTCTAGGATAGGCCTTCACACCTCTGCAACATGTAAAGCAATCATGGTAAAGATTGTCTAATTTAATATGATTAGGAGTGTATAACATAAGAAGATTCATGAAACTGAGTATAGATAACTTGCTCCAGCTATGATACACACCCTTCTCCCTTCTAAGCCTATTACAGAGAAGGCTTGAGATCCCCTGGTGAGCTTCTTATCTCCAGTAATTAAGAATATCCTAATGGGCATGGTAAGTGCCTTTCTGTGCATGTTGGGATGGACATAAAACATCATGGCCTCTTTCTGCCTGACATGAAGTAGCTCTGTGAAGTAGCTCTGTGATTTCAGACAGTGCTCTCAGACACATCTTGCACAGGGGAATGGCTCAGTTGTAATCCAGAACAATTTCCTATTAAAATATTTAACAGAGAAGCTCTAGCTTACTGTGGACATAGACAAAACACTGATCATTGTAATCATCACTGACACATTTTTTACATACAGGAAAAGGAAATGCAGAAGGAAAGAAAATTATACCATCTATAGATAGATAAGTAAAAAGGAATAATTTTATTTGTGTCTAACAGTAAAGTTGATGGTACAAGTGGCCATGCTGCAGAGATCTCAAAGAGATTTGAGCAGGGAAAGCAAAAATTGTAAGGTGGCCAGGGACAGAATCTTAGAGGCAAATACAATAATCTGTGTGGCTTCAATAGACACAATGTAGGCAGCTTCTCACAAAATGGCAAGTGCGAGATAGCACCATGAATAGTTTGCATACAAGTAGGTGATCATGGTCATCGAGTATTTAATGCAAAACTTAGGTATGTTTAAAAATTTATTCATGACTTTGGAGGGTTCCTTTGAAATTAGGCCTTTTATGTCCACATACTCTCTTCTTAAAGATTGATCCATACTTTTGAATCAATGAAATTCTTTCACTATGAAAGTTTTCAACCAGGAATGTGTAGGGGTTTTTTAACTCATATGAATGGGGGGGGAAGTGATCAGAACTAGCTTGAAGATTCTCAATAACTTAAGAACATTGTTTCCTGGGATTTATTGGGAAAGCAAAATTCAGTAGTGTGGTAATGATTCAAAAATAGTTACCTTAGACTCCATCTCTCCTGGGTGACTCAGGGTTTCAGTACTGACCACGCTCCTGGCCCTGCCACCTCCCTGCATGGTCCTGCTGGGCCTCTGCCTTCACCTCCTCTCCCTGCTCATACCTGTGTACACTGCCCTGCTCTGGAAATATAACACCTGTCTGGCAGGCTGCGAGGTGAGAGAGAACTTGGTATTATCATTGTGGGGAGCTTAGGGGGAAGGAGAGACCCATCCCTGCTGCGGGTCTCCCTTGCTCTGTAAGGACGTGCTGTTGCTGCATCTGTGACCTGCTGATCTTTGTGCCCAGAGCAGACACAGCTGTTGGCTTCTGTAGGCTTAGGACCCGGCCTATGCACATGCAGTGCATTTATTAGCAAGCCTCTGCACCCCTCCATTCACTGGTATGGTCTGAAACTGCTCTTGAAGTGTTTGGAAGAAACTCTCTTCACTCTCCTTTCACACTTCTGTGTAGAAGGAGTAGATGAACTCCCCTTTGTAGCAGAAGAGAAAGGAACAGAATACAGGTGACATAGCAGGAGATCTCGGGCTTTGTATGCTGTGATGAGTGGCTGAGGGGGTTATATACCCTACCAAACTCCTTTGCTGTTTGTGCTAAGGTGCTTTTCTGTACTGTTAATGTGTGGAACATTGATTTGGTTTTTCATTTATCGGCAGGAAAACCTGCTTTTTCTTCTCCATGCTTTCCAAGCATCTTTACCATGGCTTGATGGAGGAACTGTCAGCAGAATGCTTAAGAATTTTCAGCTGGCCAAACCTGAGCAGAGTTCTTACCTTAGCAACTCATTCATCCTTTGCAGTCTATACACAAGAGGAAAAGAGAGCTGCCTCCTTGCATGTCCCTGGGATGAGTTTTCTTTGGAGCTCTAATATGTGATTATCTTCACTGCAGACTAGAAACATTATTTGTTCACTGTGTTGGGACAAAAGGAAGTAAAAATGTGTACATTGCAATCAGACATTTCAGTTCTGTATTGAGTTACTTGAGTGTTGCTATTTTGACATAAGCAATACATTGTTGCATGGGTGTGTATATGAAGTGTAGAGTTTCCTTTTGGAAGAAATTGGCACACATCCTGCTCCTTTCTGATTTAAGGTCACTAAATAAGGTACTAGAAAGAGCTATTCGTACCTGAAATGAAAAGCAAATAATGCATTAAAAAAAAAAGGGGCAGCTCCCCCTCTCTAGTAAGTATTCTGGAAGTAAGGCTGGTTTGGGGAGCTGATAGAGGTATGGGAGGTAAGACAGCACATAGGATTATTCTGGACAGACTCAGATCAGAGTCCACAGCTCCTATACTCAGAGATTTTATATTACATTTTTCTGAAGGGAATTTAAACTGAAATTAGGTATCAATTTAAAAGGATACAAAATCCTATTTGATGTGAAAGTGAAAGTGAGCTATTTGGCCACATGTCTATACTGAAGGTGGCTGCACTGGCAACCCTGTCACTGATTGCAGTACTTCAGGAACACATAACAGCACTGAGCACAGTGCAGGCTAATCATCTAAATGTTTATCTGGCTTTTTGGAATTTTTTTTTCATTATTAGTCTGCTACTGATACCTGAGTTAATGATTTTACAGCAATGCTTTCACCAGCAGGGAAGTGCTTATCCTTCTTTACGACCCAGAGTGACAAACTTTATTGACTTACATACTAGCAACAGTGGCATTTGGGTACCAGAGCCACATCTGGGGATACCATAAACAGCAAGAGTCTTCTTGGTCCCATTCCAGCCCAGGAACACGTGCTAGAAGAAGGATTTATTTGTCTTATTTCTCTGCCATTACCAGCCCTTGCAGACTTGAAGTGCTCTCTATGGTCCATCTACCCCCTCCCCAAAATGTGACCCTACAGTCTTCAGCCATCTATTTCCTTCTTCATCAGCAGGAACTGCCTGTGGCCAGGTGCTTTCCTTGGGACTCAGAGAAGCACTCAGCCAGAGCTGCCTCCCTAAACCCAAAGAGGACAGTTGCCATCTTGAATGTGGGAGTGGTAGGGGAATCCACTGCTACAGTCTCAGCCAGAGCTGCAGAAAAACCTGTCCTAAGCTTTTCCACTTGTAGCCCACCCTGCAGGTGCCTTTCTAGTTTTGCTCCACTAGACAATACTTCAGTGTAACAAATGTCAGTAATAATTGATGTCTGCACATTACAACTGAACTGGTAACATTATGGTAAAAGCAGCACTTTAGGATTTGTGAGTTCCTAGTGCTTCCCTTCCACAGGGGTGGACATTCGTAGAAACCAGATTCATCTGGCAAGTGCCAGATCCCAAACACCCTGTGAGGGGAAGCCCCCATTGTGCAGCTCCAAGGTCCATGGTTTGGTGGCCGTGGGTTTTAGTTTTAGGCTGAGAAGGCAGGTGGAGGGGCTGGCGGTGGGGAACAGGTTGGGTACAGAAACTGGGAGAACCCCATGCCTGGGAGCCAGGCCTTTGCCTAGGGTTTGCTCAGGGGCAGGTCCCGGTGGCACGGGGAGGGCTCAAGAGGGGTCTGCAGGCACCAGGGGCCTGGGCCTCCAGGACAAGGGGGGACAGGGCATTCCCAGGCCCAAAGGCCGGGAGCCTTCGGCCGGGAGAAGCGGACGCCCTGCTGCAAACACCGGCCGGCTTCTCCTCGCCGCCCAGCCTCCATGTCGGGCGCGCATAAAGAACCATGTCATGCTTCGGCGAGGAAGGGAGGGCCGGGCGGGACTGGAGCGCTCTCTGCTCTCCTATTTTCATAGAAACTGATCTGTGTACCTAGAAAATAACAGGAAGGGAAAGCGCGGGGGGGAGGCGCGGGCGGGCTGGGGAGGGAGGGGGGGGATAAGAAGATCCTGTTTTCGGTCGCTGCCCGAGGAGTAATTCGGCGGAGCCGGCTCCATATTCCCGGGGCCGCGGCGGCTGCGGCGGGGATGGAGCGGGCGGCGCGGGCGGCGTAGCCCAGCGCGCACGGGGGGGCCGCGGGCAGCGCCGCGCCCGCCGCCGCCGCGGGGCGAGGGCTCCCCGGCCGCCCCCGCCCGGCCAGCCCCGCTCCCTGGTACCGGGGGCTGCTGGGGTTGTGTCCAAGGCCTCCCCCTCCCCCGCGTACACACTCACACACACAGACACACGCACACACACACTCACACACACACACACACACACACCCCATCTCCTCCTGCCGCCGCCGCCGCCGCCGCCGCCGCCGGAGAGATCGGGGATCGCCCGCGGCCCGGCCCCGCTCCCGGCTGCGCCCCGTGCCCGGGCGCATCGCACCCCGCGGGGGCTCGCCCGGCTGCCCCCGGGGCGGCGTGCGCGGGGCGGGGGGTGCGGGAGGGCGGGGGGACACACGGCGGCTCCCACGGCGGCTCCCGATGGCTCGTCCGCGGCCCCGAGAATACAAGGCTGGAGACCTGGTGTTCGCCAAAATGAAGGGGTACCCGCACTGGCCGGCCCGGGTGAGTACCGCGGAGGGGGCGCCCGGCCCTGCGCCGCCGCCCCCCTCGCCCCGCACCGCCGGGCGGGCACGGCCGGGCCGCGGCCACGGAGCCGCCGGAGGGCCCGGCCCCGGCCCCGCCGGACGGGGGGCCGCGGTGCGCGCCCACCCCGCTATTATTGTGCATCTTTTCTTTGATCTGCAGATTTCTCCCCGGCCCCCCGGGAGGAGGAGGAGGAGGAGGAGGAGGAGGAGGGAGAGGAGGGAGAGGAGGGAGGGAGGGGGGCGAGCGCGGGCTGTACCTGGGTTGTTATCGCGGGGAGGAGGCTTGGGGAGCCGGCAGCCCTGCCCGCATGACAACGATGCTGTTTATTATACGCCCTCCCTCGCCCCGGCCCCCGGCTCCCCCGGGGGGCAGAGGGGCCCCCGCGGCCCGGGGCAGGGCAGGGGCAGCGCGGCCGCCGCCCCCGGCCCGGCGCGGCCCAGGAACCGGCGGGGACAGCGCTGCGGGCCCGGGACTTGCGGGGAAGGGGGCACGGGCTGGGGCAGGGACAGGTGTGCAGAGGGCGAGGGCCGGAGTCAGGCTGCGGGTGTCCCCGGGGCCGGTGGGCGCGGGAGGCTCAGCTCAGCTTTGTGAGTGAAGCGGGGTCTGGCTCTGTGGCAGCCCCCCAGCCCATCTGCCACCCCTCCGCACCCGCGCTTTTTGGGTGTCGGGCCTCCCGCCGCACCTTGTCCTTTAGTGGGTTGACTTTCTTTCATAGGCCTTTGTCATTTTTTGTTTTACGCTGCCATGATACAACTGAGGTGCAAAGGCATCGTGGGCATTTGGCGGTCAGATAAGGGCTGGATTGTGTTTAAACAGCCACTTCTGGTGCTGCTACAATAACGCAGGGCAGAGCTTTCTCCAGGGGATCTGTTACCGTGGCACACTTACACTGCCGGTCCCTTCCCTCCCTTTTGGTCACTGTTGTGTAAACTCGCTGAGTAACACGTGTTGTGGGAACTCTTGGCAGGCATCAACCAGTGAGTCTGTATTTACTTGTGTTCTTCAGTCTTACTGGGATGACTGGGTAGTGCTTCATGCCATCATTCTCTAGTCAAGGAAAGTTGCTGGTCTTTATAGACTGTAAAGAAGATAGTGAAGTGTTGTATGCAGGGAAACATAGAGGAGCAGGGTAAAGATGGACTGACATTTAACATTATCCTTGACAAGAGAGCCCTGGAAAAGGATGGGGGTAAGTGCTGGAAAGGTGTCCTGAGCAGAATTGAGGAGGCAGAAGTGGTGTTGAACAGCAGACACTATACAAGGAGGGAAGGCCAAAACCGCAGGCTTAAGCGAAGGTTGGTGAAAAAAGAATAGCGAGAGGATGCTAAATATCTAGAAGCCTGTAAATAAGGTGGTACATTCAATTATTCTGGCAGAGCAGACTAAAATTAGCATGCAAAAGGCCGAACATAATCAACAACGGGTTGTGGTTTTATAATTCTATCATTATACCAGTTGGTGGATATACTACCTAAAAAATGGCAATTTATGTCAGCAGAACAGCATGAGCCACTGAAAATTGACTTCTTTCCTACCTCTGTCATGGTTTAATTTACTGTGAAAATTTTAATGTGAACAGTTGAGACCATTACCACGTTGAAGCATGTTAATCCCTTTCCTTTTTGAGCCTTTGTAAAACTCCCATTTGTTTACTCAGAAGCAGAACGGGGCCTTTTGTTTTAGTGGCATTTTTTTTCCTTTCAAAAAATCATTATATGCTGTGCAGCTGGTCATAGCCTTTGACTGGGTTGCTAAATAGATATCTGAATGGCAATAATATCCAACAAAGTGCATCTTCACTTGGAAAAAACAGGTGTGCTGTTCACATTGCTCACTTCCTTTGTGCAGACTAACAGGATGTAAAGTTCAAGTGAAGACAAAGCAGTCTCTAGTTTTAACATGACTTAGCAAGTAGAGGCAGAAACTGTAGAGAGCCCAGAGTCTACCACTGAGTAGGAAGAGAGCTGTCAGGCCAGGGGATGATTGGTACTGGGTGTTAGTTCACCAGAGTGTCAAGAGGCACAGAACGTGCTCCTGTAACTTGTGGTGGGTTTGCAGACCTAATACCATCATGATATCTTATACTAAGACTTTTCTTCATCTTGGTTGCCAAGGTTTGCCTGATGCATGCTTTCTTAAGTGAAGGAAAAACCTACTGAGGGCATCAGTCTGTATTTTGTTTCTCAAAAAACGTTATTGCGTACAAGTAAGGAGAAAATAAATATTTGAGTTGAGAATGCAACTCAGATACCCTGATTAAGTGAATGCCTTTTATCCAGGGGATTCACTTGTTTCCGGATCCTTGAGTGGTTTCTAGCTACTTCTTTATTCATTATGCAATTAACGTGTTTGATCTTTGTATTCTCATAAAAACTTACATATTTCATGCTAATATAGTAGCTTAATAATAAGAGTAACAATACATTTAAATGGCAGTGTTATTGCCCCTACCAAATGGTGTTTGGCATCCCTGAGACCTTTGGCATGAATTTCCTGTCTGGGGACAAACTTCTTAAACTGTGTTTAATAAACCTGAGAAGTGTTACAGCAGGACAGAAGTGCTCTGCCTGCCCTGTAATGAAGCACACAGACATAACTGACCTGGCACAGAACCCACAGTATATTTTTGTGTGCATGGGTAGTGTCATACAGAGAAGGATCCCAGAAGCTCCAGCAGCAGCAGTGCAGAGCTGGGCCCAGCTCAGTGACTCCTGTCTCTCACTAGGTGGGCTCTCACTCATGGGCTCATCCAGCTCCATGTGGCCCAGCACAGCAGGCAAATCCAGCACAGGCAGCAGTCTCTAGTCCTACACCGTTAGCTTCCCACCCCCTCTCTTTAGAGGTATGTTGATCTAGTGTTCAGCAAGAGCAAGATCAGCAAGCCCAACTTCTATCCCTGTGAGTAAAGAGAGAGACACCGAGCAGAAAGTGCCTAGATAGTGATGATATGCCAGGGGACCACTGGAAATTTTTTTCTGATAACTGATGGTGTGTTATAGCAGTCAAACTGCATTTCAAGTTTCTTTGTGGGTTGGTCTTGAATTAATTTTAAAGGGACCAAATTTGCCACGCTTGGCCAAAGCGGTAATGGCAGATACTTGATGTCTGAAACATGTCACTTAGGTCTTATTATGTTTAAGGGCTGCTTTGCATTTTGGTATCACATTTTCCTGTGCAAAGCCAAAATTTCCTTTGGCGTGACTGGAGGACAGCAAATAGGTTTAGTGTTTAGGCCTCAAGAATTGTATTGAAGTTTAATAATAACGGTAGGTGAAATAAAGGCAACAGTTCAGTTTAACATGATTTTTTTCTTAGTCTGTGATGTCTGTTGTCTTCAGATGCTCATCAAAAATGCAGAATAAATACCAACTGGCCAGGTCATCGGTTGCTGTAGTCCAGCAAATAAGCAACTGTGTATCCAGAGTGCCTACAAAAATAGAGGGAAGATGCCATTGTGGTTAAAATGTAGAAAATAAGAATTTAGTTCATTGTACATTTTGCAGTGGTCTTTGCCTTTGAAGCACTAAATCCCCGTGTCTTACTTCCTTGTTTAAAAGACAGTTAACAACACTTTTCCCTTTAAAAAGGTGTTGTAGAGTGGAGACAAAATGTTTATGAGTTGCTTGGCTACTGCTATGATAGGAGCTGTATTAGCACACATAGACAGAAAAATCTCTCTCTTCAGATACCCTAGTTTATCTAGGATAGATGTCCTGGTTTATTGAGAAATTGCCCCTTGAATAGTCACTCAGATGAGATAAAAGGGAAAAACTAGTGGTAGATTCAGAAAGATCAATAATGGTGTTTGTTTTATGAGTGACCCTGAAGAAACAATAGGCACTTAGTTGCTGAAATTAGCTGCTGATTTAAAAATAGGAAGGAAGCTGCTAATGCAACTGTAGAGAGCAGAGAAAAAGTCTGTAATGACCTTAATAAAATAAGAACATGCCCAAATAAGTGGCCGACGCCATTATTATACAGAAATCTAGGATTGTACAGCTGGGGAGACAAGAACTGCATTTGGATAAACACAAGTAGTTTGTGGAGGGATGGTAAAGTTGGTTTAGGACAATACAAGAGATCCAAGCAGGTAAAACAACATATTTTAGTGTCAAACATATGGATGATAAAGCTGTTTAGAACATTCTGTGTTGGGAGGACAACATAGCCTTTAAAGTGTTGGTGTCACACTAACTATTATGAAGGTGCATTTACTGTCTTTGAGGGCTAATTTTCTATTTTCTGGACTCCTGTTTGTCTTGTCCCACTCTTTTCTTGCTACTCTGAATTAACACATACTTGAGTTCCAGATTTGCTAGATAGCTAACAATCCTCATATGAATGTCACTACTAAAAAGCATCTGCCAATAGCAATGGCAGAACAGTATTTGGGGCACTTCAATGTATTAGAGTTGCAAATGGATGTGAAATTCTCAGTATATTGCTTAGAGTAATACATAGTAAAAGCTGTCATTTTAATGGGAACTAGTGTCTGTGGTGGGCTGAGCATCATAAATGTAATGATTACATGATAGTTTTTAGCTGAGTGCCTATTTTTAGTATTGTTGACTATGTCCTCCATATACAAGGCATGAAAGTAAGGCACTTGAAAGTATGAACTAAACTAATTCCAGGGAAGGGTTTAAAGGTTGGCTCATCCTGTTCAGTGAAGTATGGCTGGAGCTGGTGGCTTGATTGTGGTGAAGCTGTAGGTGTAGGACCAAGGCCTATCTTCGGACATGATTTGGTAAAGTACAAGGTATATAACCAGGTACAGCTTTGGTCTGTTATAATTGCAAGTATGGCAGCTTGAAAATATCAAAATCTCAAACACATCGTAGAGAAAGATTTGACATTTTAAGTGTTTGATATTTAAAACAGACCATTTGTTTTTGTATTAGTATAAGGATATGGTAAGGTGGGTCTTTCCCTGGCAGGGTTTATCTTTTTTGGCAAAGAATGACAGACAAAAATCA